TGTGTTCTCCAAGGACCATCTCTGACCATCTGGACCATTTCTATCATGCAGTAACTCAAATGAGGTATGGCAAAGTTTTGAAAACCAGGAAGAAAGCTTTATGAGAGCTTGGGGATAGAGGAGAGAGAAGACAAGAAGCCAAAGAGGAAAGAAAGTTAGTATCGATCACGCTTGTGGGAGTATGTCAGAAACATCTACCAGCACACAAAGGTCTCCCTTTTTCTGGCTTTTGTCTTCTTCCTTTTCTTTTCTCTTCCAGCTTCCTCTGCTCAGCCCCTCATCGCTAAGGCCACCTTCCACCAGTTTCTCTGATCCACGTAGCGGAAGCTTCCTCTGCGCTCCCTTCCTCCACAGCCCGTGCTGCTTAGGTCTTCATTCATTTCTTTACTTACTTATTGCATATTAATTAGGACATTTGTTTATTAATTGCCTGTTTGGTTATTTTCTGTGCTTCTTGCTTCAAATATGAGTTTTTGAAAGCAAGAATGTGTCTAATTTAAGTACTTTCTGTCTCCAGCTCCTGTATGCCTCTGTCCAGTTTTTCCCTCACAACTCAGGTGAATTGAATTCAACTGAAGCACCCTCCTCCATTCAGGGTTCCTAAGAGAGTTCCTGAGAGTTTAGAGCCCTTTCTATTCTCTCTTCCTCTTACTAATGATAATCTTGGGTGAAAAGCTTTAACAGCCCTGTGGCTCAGCTTCCTGATCTAAAAACTGGAAGAACAGAGAGGCAGAGAAGTGACAACGGCTGTGAAGATTCAAGTAGACTTCTATGGAGAACATTTGGAAGAACCAGGAACATAGGAAGTGCTAAGTACGTATTATACTCTTATTCTGTGCATTTGAGCACTAAATCTAAACATTAGCTTTTATTTTAAAATTTTAGTTGTGTTTGTTTCCTGGTCTTTTTTTCCTGCTGGGTCACACAATATCAGGTATTGTATGTTTGTGTATTCATCAATTCAATATGTAATCAACTGACTGAATATAATAAAAGAAAAGTAAAAAGTGATAACACAGAAAGAGAACCAAATAGGTCAGTTTTTGCCAATTAATTAAAAAAAATAGGTTTCATTTGCAGCCTTGTGCCTCTTAAAACACTGGTGAACAAGCTCAGTGCTCAGATTTCTATGATTCTGCCAGTAAATTTACTTACATTTTCACTTATTCTCAAACACTGCCTGCTTTCAAGTGAACAGTGTTACAATCTTGGTGATTTTTCGCTCTTCTGAGGAAGATTTCATCACTATTGGCTGAAAAGCAACTAAAATATTGTCTTGTATTTGATTTTACCTAAATGGAAATTCACAGATCCACTGGATTGTTGCCCAGACAAGTGAAAATAAAATAAAATAAATTAATTTAAGTAATACTCATTTCCATCTTACAAAAACATAAGTGATTATGCAGGTGAAATAAATACTAAGTAGAAAAAGAGCAAATTGTACTTGCGTGTATTTGTTAAATTTAACAAGAGTTGTGTCATTGGCTCTCCCTCTCAATCCTATAGGATTCCAACAAATTCAACTTCTCCAACTGGCAAGTTAATAGTGTTGATGTAATGCTGCTTGTCCCTCGACAGCTGAACTCAGCAACTCCAGTTCTACTTTTGCTTTCCAAGCGTAGCTAAAGAAACATTCCTTGGGCACATGTAATATGCGTGTTACATTTTAAGAAATTTGGCTCACATTTTCCTCTATAACACTGTTGCTTGAGCCATTATTTCTACAGATTCTACTTGTTTGGGTTCAAGGTATAATTTTTAGTAAAAAAAAAAAAAACCTTAAAATACCTCAGAAGAGCACAAAGGAGGTGCATGGATCTGATGTTCAAGCAAATGAGATTTTTCATCACATATGTACACAGACTTTACCGCTCCAGTTTTATTCTATTCTGCCCATTTACAGAATTGGAGGGTGACTATTGCTGCTGCCGCTCCCTTGAGTTCCCTCCTCCTGCCCTTCTTTCTTGTATTGCACTTCTTCCCCTTCTGTTCCTCTTCCATCTCCTCTTTCTCCACCTCCTCCTCGTTCTCTTCCTTATTAATGCTCTTCAAATTATTGAAACATCATTTCTCACTGACACGAAGGACAATCCTATTCCAAGTCTACTTTTGTGAAATGAACTAAAGCACACCTTGCTCTGAGCTGATGACATATGATGAACGTGCCAACTAGGTCAAAGCTAGCCCATTAGTTTTTATATCACCAAAATAATATATAATATGAATGCATCACATTTCTTCATCTATTCCTCTGATGGACAGTAAGATTGTTTTCAGTTTTATTTTCTACTCACATAATACAAATCAGTGTTATTTTGGAAACTGTTGTCTTTTGTATGGGTGTTTACATATGGAGATTACATTTCCATGGAGTAAACTTTGAAATATGACAGCCATGAGTCAAACATCTAGCAATATTTTTATAGTTCTACACATAGATCTGTATTTATTAATATTTCCTTTATAAAGGTAGAAGAAATAGTGCCACAGTATAATACCTTAATGACTCTATCAATGTAGATTGTTCTGATGCAAAATTGTTCTTAATATTCGAGAGCAGCAAGCAATGCCTTTTTTACTTAAAATACCTTCAACTGAGAAATGAAATAGTTCCTAAATCTAAATTCTTTTCTGTTGTTACTATGTTATTTCACAGATAACTTACTGCACTTTTTAGCAATGCAACTTTTGATTGCTTTTACTCAAATTTATAACAATGTTGTGTGAGCTTCATCTACAGTACAGATTACCATAATTGCACAGTTAGCTGTATCTGGTAATATCAAAGCATTTCCAATACATTTGGTAGAACAAAACACTGCTAGCCACATTTCAATTTAGACTGCTTTCATTTGATCCTAAAATTTTATAATAACCCAAATCTAACAACTTCTTTGATTACTTCCAAATATAAATTCAGTTGTTGTGTTGAGCCAGCAAGGCTCTTCTTGAATTGATGTTACAATAAGTCTGTTTTATGACATACAAGTGTTTTTTTTTATTTTTTAATTCTAAACCAATGGCTGATTGGTTAGTCTCTCAAGCAAAGTTGCTCCACTGGTACAGGCACAAAATGTGCCTCGTTGAGATGATAACATTTTAATAAGAGCAAAACAAAGGGAAACATGGGGAACTAGAGAAGACCCTTCCTTTTTTATTCACTGACTATTAGTTATTTTATAATCCTTCAACAATCTATGACGTGTTTACAGATTAAAATTCAATGCTCAGAGGCAGAGTAACTTGTTCAAGTTACCACAGAAAATTAGTAGGAAAGCCCATATGGTGCCTCAGTTTTGTCTAATTTTGAGGTCTATAATCTAAGTACCAGCACAGTGGATTCTCTGCTTGACTCATTGACCATAATCCGTTTTCTCCAAACATTCTTGGATTAAGCAGTACATAATTTGAATCAGTAACCAGTCATGAGCCGGCACAAAGCCAAAGCTCCTTTGGCTCTGGTACTTCTACACCACTGGAATAAATCTGGCTGGCTCTTGGGGAGGAGGGCATGATTTCAGGTCTGCTCAGTTGCTCCTTTCTGCAGTTGATGGTTTCCTAGAAACGTCAGTGGTCAGTGGCAAGATGACTTTACACATAACGTTTTTCAACCTCAGACTTCATCTTGCTGCTATGGAAGATCTATATATGTAACGCATTAGTGCTACTGAATAAAACCTTAACGTTACAGAGCTTGATGGACGGACAGACACTTCCCTTCTCTTTTGTTTCTTCAACTCTGTGGTTAATTTGGAAAGCTAACATCACTTTTCTTTGAGTTTTCCAAAAGGCATACTGGAAAGTACCTTACTTAATGAACTACTTATGAAAAGCAAAGAACTAGTAAAACTTCATTCTTCATTGTATTAAATTAATAGTGCTCTTGAATGAGCGCTGATTATTCTAGAAATTTTTCATCAATAGGCAAGACTCCTATCATCTTCCGAAGTACCATATTTTCTTCTGTGCTGTCATGAAATACATATTCTTTTGTGGTTTAATGTGAAAGACTGTAGAGGGTTTTATGGGTTTCTTTTTTTCCTCTCTGAATTTGATGGTAAACTATAACATCAGAATACATGTAAATTTTAAATTGGCTAATAGGATTGTTTTTTAGCATTAGGTATTTTTAAAAGATTACAAAGCGTGAAAATAGCTTTAATGTTACTTTAATACAGGAAGAGGCCTCACTTGGAGAAGTTTCTGGAGTTTATGGGTGGGCTTGGGGGAGGTGCTTTGGAAATGGCCAGAGAATCTTTTTGTCTATTGTCCTGCCATTCAACGCTCTGGGGAGGAAATAAAGCACCAGGCAGAGTTGGGAGCTCCTGCACCTCGGGGGTAAGGCAAAACCACTGCCAGCTGGCTCCTCCACCGACGCGGCACCCGGCAGCCCGGACCTGGTGAGATAGGTTCCGAGGCGGCGGAGCCCAAACACGGGAAGCTGGTCCCGCACCGCAGGGCTCAGGGTGCCTGTGGCCCATGGGTTGGAAAGCTCGGAAGCCCGCAGCGCCAGGGGCCGGGAAGGAGGGAAGAGTTGAAACCGAAGCTGTGCGGCCCGAGGCTCCTCTGCATGCCAGGGCGCACACGGCGCACCTCCCTTTGAAGGCAGTTGAAGCCCAGAGAAAGGCGCAGCACACCTGCGCTCACGCACGCAGAGCGCCCAGCGCGCCATGCACCCTGAATTCCCAAGTCGGGGCGCCAGCAACCTCCCGCGCAGTGCAGCTCTGTCTGGGGTACTTTCTGCTCGGCAGAGCTCTCCCCACATTCCCGCTTTCCATGTTCCAAGTTTCCAAACCCTGGCTGGCTGTGCTCAGGGTGCCGAGCTTCCCGGGCACCTGGGACCCTATGGTGCCGCGGACGCTCCCCAAGGACTTACAGCCCTTCAGGCCTCCAGAGCTCTGCGGAAGACAAAGGGGTCCGACCGAGCTCCGTGGCTGCTCGCTAGTGCCCCAGGGACAGCACCCAGCCCGCGCCCTCCCGCCCCCGGGAGTCCTCACCATTTGTAGCCTCTGCCACGCTTGAACTTGAGGGTGAGCACGGTCTCCAGGACGAGCGAAAGGTTGAGCAGCGCGAGCAGCCAGTAGCGCGGTTCCTGCATGACCACGGTCACCCGCCAAACCCCGGCCAGAGAGTGCAGCAGAAACAGCAACCGGGTGGCCAGGGCGTTGACAAGCACCAGCCCCTCCATCCCGCCCGCGGCTGCTGTCCCAGGACCGAGAGCGGGGCTGCCCTCCCCCACCTGCCCCAGAGTTCTTAAAGAGGGGCGACTCCAAGCCCCGCTTTCTTAGAGCTTGGAGCTTCTCCGGGCGTCTGGAGCCTTCCCGGCTCCCGGGCGTCTTCTCCGGAGCCGCCCGCCCCCTCCTAGCCCCGGGCGGTCCTCATCCCGGGTTATCTCCGCCCTCGGACCCCCTGGCCCGCAGGAGTCAAAAAAGGGGGTGCGTACACCCAAGGTCAAGGTACTGCTGCCGGGAAGGGGAGCGCCGGGGCACCTCCTGCCTGCTCCTTGCCCAGCACTTTCTGGGATCCCCTCCCACGTCTTGCAGGAGCGCGCTGTCGGTGATTTCGAAGCTGGGAAGTGGAGGAGCCAGAGAATCCGCAGTCCAAGCAGTTTTAGCAACGCAGTTCCTGCCCGATTTGAAGAACTGAAACTTCCCAGGACCAGAGAGCCAGAGGAGCTGGGCTGTCTTAGGCTCTCTGGCTGGTCCATGCTGGGCTTAGGCCCCCTGGCCACTCTGGTCTTTTCACACCCTGTCAGGATCACTCCACTTTTTCTGCCCCACCACCACTAGATGAGGGTAGGAGACACAGGACACGGGAAGGGAGGCAGGAAGCAGAAGATAAATCCATGAATAAAATTAGAAGGTGAGATTCATGGATAAGGACCCCCCCCCACTCCCACCTACCTCTGAGATCAGGGACCATTGATTTTAACTCTGCTCTTTCCAGCTCCCAAGTAAGAGGAGATTGAATTCACTTTCTCAATTCATCTTCATCTTTGTTTCTTTGTTTGGCTTCCTATCCACTCTATTGCTATTTACTTAACATTTTCTCTAAAGAAACTCAAATTTTTACTAGCGTAAATTTATTTTTAAAAGAACTTTTCCATCGTGTATAAATTGAAAGCCCATACAGTTGACTACAGGTAATTACAAAAGTAATAAAAAGAAAATGAACCCACTAGCTATTATCACCTCCAAAGCTCTGGGCTTCAGATTCCCCTTTCTTTGCTATACAGGGAGTTAAAGAAATAACAGTGGTATTACTGTGGATAGGAATCTTTTGTCCACCTTGGTAATACTGACAGAACAATGTGATGGGAGTGCTTAGATTTATTCAGCTTCTAGAAATCAAGCTGAAAAATTGAGTTAAAGGATTGTCTCCACTAGGAGACAAAAGACATCTAACTGCTTAGGAAAACTCAGAAGTTATTTTTAGTCCTGAGACCTGGGAGAACTGGTTTATTTGAATTTCCTGATCAGCATCTGAGTTCTCCGCATCTACAGGAAACCTAGCAATCATTTCCTGAGGCTGTTTATTGCAGCGCACTGCAGTGCAGGCTGAGGGCTCAGTGATGTACTGTACGAGGCCTTGCCAAAGTGGCTGAGGGGGCCGCAGCGCCCGGAGTCAGAGCCCCAGCGCCCAAGCCAGCTGCCAGCCCGGGACTGCTGGTTCAGGTCTTTCATCTGGTACAGCTGTGGCTTTTATATTTTTCTCACTGTAAACTGAGTATTAATCCTGTCTACTTACAGAGCTGTTGGGAGATTGGCTGGCTTAATCCATGGAAAACAGCTGATAGACATATTTGACAGACACTGGTGATGGCTGCTAGGTTGAAGAAAGCCAAACAAATGGCTGCTGTTTGTTTTGATATGAGAGAAGGAAAACCAAGAGTGCCCACCACAGAATGTGAACTTCCTAAGGCCCAGCCAGCGTTCTTCAGAAACAGCTAGGCTTTACTACTTTTTAAAGGAGGGAGGGCGGCAAGATAGCTCAGCAGACTAAGCACCTGCTCAGGCAAGCTCAGGGATGGGGGTTTGATTCTCCGCCCCACATGCCACACCAGCCCCACCGCTGGGTGTGCTGACCTGGGCACTGGGACCAGGTGTGCTGGTGCATGCCTATAATCCCAGCACTATGGAGGCTGAGGCAGAGGAAAACTACAAGTCCGAGCTGCACAGTGAGACCCCATACTGTGTACATTAAACTATAAATAAATAAAAATAAAGGAGACAGGGACAGGGGGCTCCCTAGTGAGAAAGTGTTAGTTAAAAAGTGTTAGAGATTACTTGCAAGAAGCACTTGGGCTTGGATTCGGTAACCTTGAGGCTTAAGAGAGTGGGACTTGAGATTGGATATTGTCAAAAACTGCAATGAACTTTATGGTTGAGTGCCTTGATAACTCTAATTTACATAGAGAAATGTCTGATCACTTTGTGTCTTGTACCATCTTCACGTTTTGATGTTTTGAAGCATAATTACAAATCAGTCCTGTTTATGTCTTGATCTATCACAGCCACAACTTGGCCTTGACCCTTCCTGGTCTTATGATACATTTCTATGATCAAACGGAGGCCAACAAGTCTGAAGGATGGTGGCAAACCAGGCTCCGGCTGTCAAGGTGTGCTCTTCCTTGGGTCTACTAGGAAGAGCTTTCTGGAAGACACAGGGAGGTGTATCTGACATCTTTAAAATATCATTGCTTTTCCATATTTTAAAGGTTTAAATGCAGTTTAGGTGGCCTTGACACTGAATCTGAAAAAGAAAGCCATCATCAAAGAGAATTTAAAGATTATTTCTTTTTAATTTTCTTCTAAGCCTATTTAAAAAGACTGGAGGCTTTGAGAAATACCTCGAGACCTCCAACCCAATAGCTCAATAATCTTCTAAAAAGAAGAAAGAATTAAACAATTAAGAAAAATTGCTTTGAGTCTGGAGGAGACAAAGCTGAAGAAACAATTAAATATGCATGGATCAAATAATCACAACAGGATAATTATGAATATAGTCAAAGATTTGTATCAAGTAAACAGCAATGACTTCCCATAAAAATGACAAAGGTAGAGTCCAGGGGACCTCAGCATCTCACATGCCATTGACTTGATATCTTTTGAACTACTGAGACATCTGCAGAAGAATCTGGAAGGTAATAACCTTTTTTAAGTTTGTAATTATGAAAAGACTAGACAGAGTTTTGTAGGTCCATTAGCAGAGATCACTTAAATTTGGAGTTTAATCTCTTTTTATCTTCCATGGCCACTGAGTACTATCTCAAATAAACTGGCCAATCTTGTTATTACTGGGGCACATGAATTGCCAGACCTATGGAAAACCCTGTGTACTTTCTGGTCGGCAAGTGGGGCCACTGGCTGGGTAAGTACTGACAAATCTGCATGAGCATCTATTAAAAGTTTAACAGGCTTTCTCCTTATATTGGCAGTTAACATGGGTTCCCTCAGGCTGAGAGGGGAAGACCCATGACCATCTTAATCTGAAGCTTCCTCTGACTCCATCATGACCATTTTTCTTTCCTTCTCTAGTAGTTTTGAACATTTTTGCTTGAAATGTCCATTCTCTTTGTCTGAAACCAGGGAAGCACCTTTTTTCCCTATTTCTGACTGGCCTTCAATCCTGTAGGCTGCCAGCATCACTATCCTCATTTTTTTGTCCATTATTCCATTCTGTATCCTTTCCACTATGAGACACCTGAAGTGAGACCAATTTATTCCTGCAAACACTTCTAACTTCTGCAGCTTGTGTCAGATACCCGGGGCCCACTGAGTAAGGTGTAACTTCTTGGTTTTAAGGCCTGCAGGCAGCCCTGCCCAGAGAATGTGATGGCAACCTCCCCTGTAGTGCATTGAGAAGAAGCATCTTGCCTAGGGGTATGAGTGCCGTAATGCTCAGAAGGCTCCACTCACCTGGGCTATGTGAGGTAGACGGGAAAGGCCTTCCTATGTCTCTATAGATGAAATCTGGTGGATCCCAGTAAAAGAAATCTAAAAGTAATTAAGGATATTCACTATAGGTTTTACCTGTGTGATTCCCTGGGTTTTGGTATCTTCTAAGAAAAAACAAATTTTCTGAGAAATTAGAACATGCATAATCAAAGCATGAACATTCGAGCTAACACACTGGGTGACCCCTTTATTCATGGAGTCTGATGGTCTGCGATAAGTCCCTATAGCTTTAGTTAAGAGAGGTAACACATGTATTTACTATCAACATGAAAAACCTGAGCTACATCAGAAATCAACCAGATGAACTTATATATTTGTCACGAAATACATGGCATTCAGTCACGTTAAATCAATGTCACATTCAGTGTTGTAGATATGGCCTCCAAAAGTGATTCACCTACCCAAGATAAAATGCCTGGTCTATTGAGGGCCTTTAGATAGAACCTCTGGAGAGTGTCTCTGACTGCTGGTTCACAGCTACAACCCTTTTGAGCCTGAAGAAGCCAGAGCAGTCATCACCCATGGTTGTCTCACAGCAGTTCTGGTTACTTCTTCAGAGAGGGGAATGTTGTAGGCAGCTAAATAGATAGAAATATCATAGGCAGTCAGACAGGACCAGGCCCTCAAGGAGACAAGATGGAAGACAAGGTGACTTTGCAACTTGGAAGAGACAGACACTCCCATATGGGCCATACCTCAAGACCAAGACAAAAAAGGAAACACAGCTACATACCTCCCTAGGGATGGGCATCAGGGATTGATATTCTAAATAGATATCACCTTGAAAGAACCGAAATGAGTCACTTGCCCAACAAGAAGAGACCCTGTCCTGGTATTCATGCCTGCTTGCTACGTGACTCGCTTCCTCACTTGGCACTGCATTTAATCTATTTTACCTGAGCAATGGTGCTTGTAATCTCATGGTTGACCATACTTTTGTCCCACCTCATGCCCACCTAAGTGAGTTCCCATGTCTTCTCCATCACCTTAGACCCACCTTGCCCCATAGTTTTACTCTATAAAAGTCCCTGGAAGAGACAGCTTCCCGGAGACAACCCGCTCAGGCCCCCCTCCTGTCCTTCTCTCAGACAGGAGCTTTCTTTACCCCAGTAAATATATTCTGCTCATAAAAAAGAAAAATCTACTCTTGGTGAAAAAGCGAACTCAGCCACATGCAGCCAGTTCCTGTGGCACAGATGGGGTCACTGGAAAGCAGAAGTGTCTCATTCTACTCAGAGTCCACAAGTCACCAGACCTCTCTTCCCTTCTGAGTGCAAAGCGAACATCAGGCATTGCCAGGTTTCTCTGAATTAGAGGGACTTCGGTCTTAAGAAGGAGATTTTTTCTTGTTTATTTCTTTAAAGACAGCTTTCTTTTTATAATATTTATTTATTTTTTATTTATTTATTTATTTTGGTGCAGGGTCTCACTGTGCAGCTTGGACCTGTAGTGATGCTCTTGTCTCAGCCTCTCCAGCGCTGGATTACAGGCGTGTACCACCATTCTGGCTTTGGTGGCACGCTCAGTGCACCTGGGTTCTGGGACCATCACAGCATGCAGTGCCAGGGGCTAAACTCACATCCTTGCACTTACTAAGCAGGTGCTTAGATCATCAAGCTGTCTCCCCAGCCCAGAAGGAGACATTTCAAACCAGCACAAGCTAAAGTAGTAATTATGGGAAGGGCACACATGGGCTACAAATGGAGATGGACTCCCATGCAGCGAGAAAGCAGAAGCATCATCAGAGGACCACCATCAAGTGCAACTGCAGCCCAGGCGTGCGTGGCCTCAGTGGCACAAGGGATCTCACAGTTGCAGTTCACAGCATTTTTTTAAAGCAACTCTCTGGCTTTGATAGTCTCCAGCCCAATTTCCCCAAACTGAATTCAAATTCCCAAGCAAAGGAAATGAACAACTTCTTTGACTTCAGATTCCAGGTCACATCATGAGCCACTTCACAGGCTGTGGATGGACTGCAGTAAGGTCCTCGGCCATCCCTGTGAAAACCAGCCTAGTGTAGCTTTTCCATGCTGCAGCATGAGTCTCGGGGCAGAGAAGGTTGAGGCAAGGAGTGAGGGTGGCAGGTGTGTGGGCTGACTCATCCCACAGCAGCCAGCTGTGGGCAGACGTGCACACATGTGCTACCTGCCATATAGAAGATCCCGTTTAAATACCAGTCTGCAACTATGCTCTTGCTTGTGACCTAGCAGTAGGGGTACAAACCAAAGTCACCCCTGCATCCAGAGAGCAGGAAAGCTACAGCCTGTCCTTAGAAGCCACAGCCTCCTGGCGATCATCAGTCCTCTTAGATTCATCTTGAGGCTATTCAGGCATCATCATCTTGAGCCTATTCAGGCAGCACTAGTGTGGTGTGTGTGTGTGTGTGTGTGTGTGTGTGTGTGTGTGTGTGTAAGAGAAAGAGAGAGACATGCAGAGAGCAGAGAGAGACAGAGACAGAGAGACACAGAAGGGGGGAAAGAGAGAGAGACAGAGACAGAAACAGAGGAAGGGGGAGAGAGAGAGAAAGACAGAGACACAGACAGGAAGAGGAAGGGGGAGAGAGAGAGACACAGAGAAAGGCAGAGAAAGAGGGAGGCAGGGAGACAGAAAGAGAAGAAAGACAGAGAGGAAGATGGAGAGAGATACAGCACATGGAAACTCATCACTGTAGAAAGGCACAAGTCCAGTCCTCAGGAATTTTAGCGATTATTCACCTTG